TCATCTTCATCCCTCCCCGTGGCTACCTCAGCGGCGTCGGAAGCCCCGAACGTCGGTCGACGGCGATTGAGTGGGATGTGGTCAAGAACATCCTCATCTGATTCATCAGTCAGACGAGTAGGTTGGCGAGGAGGAGAAGGTGTGGCATAATCGGAAGGGCGTAGAACACTGATAGGCACAGGATTGTAGATTTCTTCGACAGAGCGGGAAGGTGAGTGAGGAATAGGCCGATGAGCGGGGGAGGATGATGTAGCGATCTCATCTTCCACAGAGTGATGGCTTGGTGCGTTAAAATCAGCGGAATCTGAAAAGTAGAACGAAAAAGTGAGAGGAAGAGAAAAGGAGTTAGGGTTTTTTTGAAAGCAAAGAGGGAGGTTTTTTGCCACAGGCGAAACGAGAGGGATTTGGGAAAAAGAAGAAGCAACAGGGAAATCGGAAAATTAACAAAATAAATGCACGCAAATATAAAATTGAAAAAACACCGAGAGCAGGCAAGAACAATTTGCAGAGGAAGAAAGCAGAGCGCAAAGGGGGTTCGAAATTGCAAAGGTGAGAAAAGCAGAAAAAGTGGCGAAGTACCGTATTTATAGGGGTACAGATGAATAAGGTGAAGAGTTAGGGGAGATGACCGTTAGATAAAAGAAGATCCAACGGTGGGAAAGATTAAAGAGGCACAGATAGCGAAGCGACACAAATCGCGAGGAGGCGCGATGATTAAAAAGTACAGAGTTGAGGGGACATATGGCAGGCGGAAACCACGCGGATAATAAAAACAAATAAAAGACAGTTATAGTGCATATCAAAATTGACCACGTGGTCGAAGAAAAGTGGTGACATCAGCAAAAATGATCGAAGGAAAGTGGCGACATCAGCAAAAATGATCGAAGGAAGGTGGCGACATCAGCAAAAATGACCGAAAGAAGGGGCCAGGTGCGAGTGGGAGGTCGAGAGGTCGGCAGAGTGCAGAAGACAGCTCGAATCCACTCTTAGATCGAGTCATTCAGACTCGACCAGAGTGGAGGGGACTAGATGATATGGGATATTATACGACTAAGGAGCAAACCGGTCCACCGCATCGGTTGGGCAAGCAGAAAGTTGAGAAAACCACATTGGTTGAAGGATGATCGACCAAAAGGGAAGAGATCGAGCAGAATAGCAGAGCTGGTCGAGGATCGAACTAGCAAGGGGGAGCTCTATCAGATCGAGCACACAGCAGGTAGAGAGCAGTCGAGAGCGTGGCCTGGACACGAGAAGGCGCGCGGGTGACGTTAGAAGATCCCAACGGCCTGCGCAGAAGAATAATTTCTCTTAGCTCAGAGGGACACGTGGCGAGAATACATTGGTGCAGAGCGATAGTGGCGATAGCCACCTCTGACATCTCTGACAACACGCACACTATGTGTGTACGGACGGGCAGTGTGGGCAGGAAAGCTCACCAAAATCCGGGCAGCTTCTAGGGCAGGTATCTCACTCCTATATATATGAGAGTGGGTCTTTTCTTGTGACTTACATTTATCCATTCCTTACTTTGGAAAATTGAACAAACACATACTGACTTAAGCATCGGAGGCTCTTCACCGGAAAACCCCTCCGGTGTGGGAGTTCTTTGCAGGAGCGCGGCGTTCTACCGGCAACAAAGAAGGAGGCAAGCCGATTTCAAGCCGGTCGGAGTGTTTTGCGTTACCACATACAACATTGATATATAAAACATTTTCTAAGTGCTCTTAAGGATGAACAAAAAGTAAAAATTCTACATACTCTCTTTCAACTTTTTTTTCGCACAACTAAATTCGTTTTGTATTTGGTTCATAATCTATATAACATATAAGTACATACATACAATTTCCGTCTCTGTAATATTAAACCTAAATTTGATCGAAAGCTAGAAAGGAACTTCAATTTGATAAAGGTGAGTTCAAAAAGTTGCACAAAAATGGTGGCTAAGAAAAGGTTGATGCAAACACATTCAGCGAAGTTGATGAAATCCCCCAAGAAAATAATAGAAAACGGCGGAAAAAGAAGTCCAACACTTTCACAAAATAATAATAATAATAATAATAATAATAATAATAATAATAATAAAAATTTGACAAAACTCTGATTTTTGTTGAGGAAAATGAATTTGACATGGACAAGACAGAAATTCATGAATATGTCGTTGAAACGACGACTTGACTGAAAAAAAAAATGAATGATAAAACCGACCAGGCCAGCAATTATAAGAAAAAGAGGTCAAGGCTTAACGACGAGCTTTAAAATCATGTGCTTGACGGGCATTAGAATAATTTTAGTATATGTTGCTTTTATAGTTAGTATTCTTAGATTATGATTAATTTTTTGTCCCACATCGGATGTGTACCGAAGATGTGTATGATCTTTTTAGCATAAATAAGTCCCTTGCCTTTGGATTACAATTGCACCTTATTCTATTCTCTCCTCTCTTAGAAAGAAATCCTAATTTGTGGGTTGTTTAACCCTAGTTGTATTTTGTTGGTGAGTTTAGTAAATTTGGCGTTGCGGTTGGTGGTGGCCGGAGACGTAGGCGATATTGGCCGAACTTCGTTATAAATTTTGTTTTTTCTTTTTCTTTCTCGTCTTTTATTTACTTGTGTTGACTTATTGTCGTTAGTAGTAGTGCTTGGCATATTTGTTGTAGGGGTAATTTTATGCACAGTGCTTGTTGTTCTACCCCAACAAGTGGTATCAGAGCGAAAAGGTTCGTTCTATCCTCATTCAGTGAGGAGAGCACTGCATTCAAGTTCAAGATATCCAAAGAAGTCAAGGGCGAATCATCCTCTGTACTCATTCTGGCAAGGACGGTGATGCCGAACATCAGACCCTCAGTGGAGATCTTTGATGGGACCGATCATCTCAGACAAGGTGATGTGATGGATTGTCTATTTCAGCAAGGCGTCGACATTGCCATTGAAGAAAAGAAGCCAACGACGTTGATGTGAAGGACTAGAAGAATATCAACCGCTTAACATGTGGAACATTAATCTGTTTGTGTTTGTCGAGGGAGCAGAAGTACATGCTTAAGAATGAGAACTCTGCTCACATACCGTGGAAAGCTTTAGAGGATAAATTCCTGAAGAAAAATGGTCAGAATAAGCTCCTCATGAAGAAGCGAGTGTTCCGATTTGAGTACCGGCATGACACGTCAATGATGACCAAGTCACTCCATTCAAGAAGTTGGTTGCAGATTTGTTGAACTTGGACATCACATTCAGCATGAAGATTTTGCTCTAATGTTGTTATCATCACTTCCGGATTACTTCGAGCACTTGGAGAATACCATATTCCATGGAAAAGACGATGTAACTCTTGCAGTGATCAGTTTTGCTCTGTATAGCTATGAGTAAAGGAAGAAGAACAAACAAGAGACGAATAATGCATCAGCAGAAGATGAAGCGTTGGTTGCAAGAGGTGGGTCGAAGAGCCAAAAGAAGAATAGACGAGGAAGATCACGTTCCAAGGACAAGCTTGAAAAAGATGAGTGTGCTTTCTGTCATGAGAAGAGACAGTGAAAGAAAGACTGTCTTAAGTTGAAGAAAAAGAGAAATTCTCCTCAAGATGCATGTGTTGCTGAGGGTGGAACTGAACACTCAGAATTTTCACTTGCGGTTACACCTACATCATCTCATCCAGATGAATGGATTTTGGATTAAGGGTGCACCTACCATATGTCTCCCATAAGGGATTGGTTGTACAATTTTCAAGAATTCAATGGAGGAGTTGTCTATGTGGATAATGATAATTCCTTTAAGACAACCATGATAGGTTTAATCCATCTGAAGAATCGCGATAGATCCACCAAATATTGACGGACGTTTGATATGTGCTGAGATTGAAGAAAAATCTCATCTCATTAGGAGCCTTGGAATCCAAAGGCTTGGTAGTGACTTTGCGAGATGGAGTTACGAAGGTTAAATCCGGCTGGCTCGTGGTGATGAAAGGAATCAGGAGGAATTGTATTACTATGAAGGTGATATATTTGTTGGGACAACAACAGTAGCAGATTCCATTACCAAGTAGTCTGAAGCAGTCAAGTTGTGCATATGCGATTGGGACATGCTGGTGAAAAAACTTTGCAGACATTGTCAGATTCCATTACCAACATTCTGCATATTTTAGTTGGCGCCAAGAAGCGCATTTGCAGGCACCGCCAGAAGTTGAGTTGGATTGAAGAATCAGAGTGGGAGCGAAATTAGTCAAGGTGGAGAATTGTCAAATTTTGATTAATTTTTTTTTCCCACATCGGATGTGTATCAAAGATGTATAGGATCTTTTTAGTTGAAATAGGTCACTTGCCTTTGGGTTACAATTATACCTTATTATATTCTCTCATCTCTTGGAAGGAGAGCCTTAATTAAGAAAATCCGAATTTTTGGGTTATTTAACCTTAGTTGTATTTAGTTGGTGAGTTTAGTATATTTGGCGTTGCGGCTGGCGGTGCTCGGAGACGTAGGCGATATTGGTCGAACTCCGTTATAAATTATGTGTTTTTTCTTTTTCGTCTTTTATTTATTTTTGTTGGCTTGTTTTCGTTAGTAGTAGTGCTTTCCTTATTTATTATAGGATAATTTTCTCCGTTGCGCTTGTTGTTCTACCCCAACAAGTATAATATATGTTGCGTTTTTTTATTTACATGACATTTCTCCACCTAGCCGCAGGCAATATCTATCGAAACATCACCACCATCTTTTTCTCCCTTCTCTTGCCGCTACCAAACTCGCCGACTACAAGAAGGACGATAAAACTGACGTCTTGGACCGGCTCCAGTCCTATTTCCACCAGCCCCGACCCCTCTACTAACAGCTCCGACATCCTCTTCGACGACGTCCTGGAGTCCGCTCCGCTCATAGAGAGAGAGGACATTTTTTAGGGATGAATGTTTTAATTAAGGTAAATTTATTTGGATATAATTGAACAAAAAAAAGAATATAATTACTTACAATCTATAACAGTTATTTTGTTTTTTTCTTTTCATTAATCATTAGGCATCAGTTGCGAATTTTAAGGGGTTCGACTATTCTTGTTTGGAAATAAATTTTAGGTTATTGTATAATTATTTGAGAATAAATCATTATGATGCAAATTATTTTCTTCAACCGTAAAAGTGCAATCAATTCTAATTAGAATAGGATGTCCGTAAATTAAATGTGCCATTTATACAACCTTGTTCACGATGTTGAAAGAACTCATAAAGTCCATATATATGACTTAATACAACGGCTCATATGTATTTGTGGGCTATTCATGTTTTTGGATTATTGTACTGGTTTGGTTCAGGTTGAATCATGTATGACCTAGCATAACTATAGGTCGACTTAGTGCAAAGTTCAATTTTTTAAATTTTTTTTCTTCTTATTTTTGCATAATGATGGTATCAATGGCAACAATTGAATATTATTTTGGTATAGTAGGTCAAATCTGGTAGAGTGAAGAAATATGTGATCTTATGATGCTAGGTTGAAATTAATTGATATATATTTGTAATTCCATGCTTTGATTTTCAAAGATTGGATCTTTAATATTCTATACTTATATAATAAAGTATACTATTTACGAAATTTAGTAAGTTGAAAAGTCAATGCAATAAATGCATTACTATTTTGAGTAACATAATATAATATCATATCTATATTTATATAAAAGGAGATTATATTTACTACATTTACTATCCAGAAAAGTCAACTGTATTAAATGCTATTACTATTTTGATATTATAATATTTTATATATTTAATTAATTTATTTATTTGTTTTATTTTAAAAAGGTAAGTATAATAAAAAGATTTGAATAATAAAAAAATTAAATACCAAATAAAAATATACACTTTGACTTATTTGATTATATTTGGTATTTGATTATACCAAATAAATTCCTATTTAGTATATACATTAAATACTTACTAAAGTATTTATTTTTTTTATTTGTCAAAGTTAAGTATAGATTTGTTTATATTATCAAATCATAAAAAAATATTAAATCCCTATTGTAAAAAAAAAATCATGTAATTTTATAACAATTCTACTATACTATTTAACAATATTCCTTTTTTATTATATAATACATTAATAATTAAATATTATATGGTGAACAAAAATAAGTAAAACTGTTACTTTCTCTTATATCAAGGGATAAATTTATATGCTAAAATTAAATTTTTATTAGTATAAATGTTTTAGTGAGATAATATATTAATTATTTTACAAGTTAGCCCTAACATGCTCATATTTAATGTTTTAAAAGATGTAGAAAAAAATTTATAATAACTCTATTATTTTTTAGACTTAAACGTTGATTAAAAGAGGTAAAAATTCCTAATTTTTTAGACTTAAATGTTGATTAACACCATAGATTGAGAGTCTATATTTAGTAAAATTCCTAATTGTAATAAAAAAATTAAGTTTTGCTATATTTTAGAATATCTTTAAATTCATTATAAAAAAAAAAGAAAAAAAAACTACAATGAAAAAAGCAAGTCAGCTATATATCGATTTGTTGTACTCCTCAAATCACATTCACAATTTGGCTACAAGGAAAGGAAACTCATTGATTAAAATATTATTTTGTCAGTAGTCTTAATGTACAAGAGACTTTAAGACTCCACTTGAATATTATAAAACTTTTATTGAACATTGTACAATTTTCTTGCGTATTATAAACTTTTATTGAATATTGCATCTTATAATATAATATTCTCCAAATAAATATATCCCATGCTTCGCACGGGTCACGTACTATATATATTCCGTACATTTTTCTTTATTTATGTATATAATTATAAGCCTGGATAAATAGCCTTAAAATTGTGCACTCCGTACATCGCACGGGCTCTGTATTAGTTATAATAACTTACATTAGCTTTACGAACACCGAAAGGCTCACATCTAGACCAGAAAACATGCATATGCGGAAAAACCTTATGATAATTTTGGGTAGATTTGTTTTGTCGATTTATTATAATGTAAAAGTGGGTATGGTCGCTTTGTTAATGTCCACCTTAGTATTTGATTACTTGATTTTATGTTTTCGAACCCAAATTTTTCTCTCTATATTTTCTAAGTTATAGAGTGCTTAGTGTTATCTATGTTTTTTTTTATTGCAATCTCATGAATTTCCTGCCTTACCCTTGTTAACTTTAATAAAAACCAAACATGTATTTAGAGTGTTTAGCTTTTATTTATTTTTGGTTCTTTGTAATTAATCATTGTCTATTTAATCGATGTGTTTAGTATTGCTAAAACTATCAGATTGAATATTAGTTAATGGTTTAAGCTCTCCATATGAAATTAGTACGTGCTCTATGCATAGAAGAATAATTTTATGATTGTTTTATATATTAAATAAAAATAGTATTAATCATAACTAATGCGTGACCCGTGCGATGCACGGGCTATATTTATTTGGGAATTATTATAATTCAAAGTGTATAAATAAATGAAAGAGTTATAATACGTAAGAAAATTGTACAATCATATAATCTTGGTCAAAACAAAAATGATATATTATTAAAAACCTCTTTATATACAACATTATTAGTTTGATTATTGGGGAACTCATCGTTCCGACAAACTAACATTTTCAACTCGTTTCTATTAGTTACAAGCGAAACAACAACATATAACTGGTCATGACTAAAAACATGTTTCTTTAAAAATAGTCCAACGTGAGATAAAGACTGACCCTTACTCTTATTGGTCATTACATAGGAAACCATAAGTGAAATTGTTGCCGCTGGAACTTAAATGGAATTGAACCCTAAGATCAGAAGAAGTAATATTCATTCTAGAAATCAACACTTTATTGCGAGCATGATATCCCATCAATATCTTGCATTCGAGCACATGACCAGAGAGTTTGGTCACAGTCAATCGTGTCCCATTGTGCAGAGTCCCATAGAATGGTCCATGTTCCGCAACAACACGACTGACGTTCCTTTTTTTAAATGCAACAAAAGATTATTATAAATTTCGTATAATAGAAATAAAACAAAAAACTACTCCAAATGTTGAAATATATATTATTTGATGGTGTACACAACGGAGCTGTTCCAAAAACTGTAATATAAATGAAAAATTAAAAATAAATCTAAAAATTAAACAAAAAAACAATGAAGTAAAGTTTTTAACAAATAAGCGTATTAAATACTTACCATTTGTAGTATCCGATAAGGGAGAATTTTGCGTGCGTTGCAACGTATAATCTGGTAGTAAATGTAGATTTAATGTATTGCACATAACTGAAGGATGATAAGCCATTCGCTTATCTGAGGGATAACAAAAACAAACAAAAAAATAAAAAAACAAAGTTATATTTTATGTACATATAATTTAGAACAATTAAAAATTTTACTTGGAAATATAATTTATGCATCTATATAATAATTTATTATAAACACAACAATTTAAATGGCCCATTTTTATTTTTTTTTTCATTATTGGGCCTAATGTTCAATATATCGGATCAATAGACCATAAAATCGACAAAACAATAAGGTATGTATTTGTATTCTCATTTTTAAATTGTTCGCAGTAACTGCAACTATCAAATTCAATTAACTTGTTATTTTGTTTAATGTCCTCTGATTATGAGTAACGCAATGGTTAAGGTGTGAAGATTGAGGACTGGGCAATGAACACGAAAAAAAGGTAATAAATATTTGTTACTTACTTTGAAATCTGAAAAACTGTTAAGTTGTTTGTTTGTTTTTTACATATGCTGCACATATTGATAAACATGTTGTATATTATTTCGTGCATATATGTACATTTGGATGGAGGCATGGATAACAACACACAACCAATCCAATATTCATATAAGAACAAATGGAAGGTAAATACAGTAACAATTTAACATTTAATTTTATATATACATATGCATTCTAGATAACTAACTAATGGGAAATGCTATGGTCTCGTTACGGAACCATCTCGTCGGGTGTTTTAACCATTAGATCATCTATCTTATACTAACTATATGTGCATGGAACGGTTAAAACTCCTGACGAGATGGTTCCGTAACGGGACCGTAGCATTTTCCTTAATTATATACTATTTGTTTCTTAAGACGGTAATAGGATTTTACAAATTCATGTCAAATATTTGAATAAAAGTGCGTCTATTCTATTTAATCATCAATTTTTTTAGTATACATTTTACACATACACTAGTAGAAAAAATATTTTTTATAACGGGCAACGAGGAATTTTTATAACGGTTTTGAACTCGTTATAGTTTCAGACGTTATAGAAAGTATGAACTTTCTATAACGGTTTGTGACCCGTTATAAATTGACTGCTATTTATAACGGGTAACATAGACCCGTTATAAATAGTTAATTTACCTGTTATAGACTACACTATTTTATAACAGTTATAAACTTAACCCGTTATAAAATATACTATATTTATAACGGACTTTCATTTACCCGTTATAAATTTCTTTTGTTTACACTACAATTTATAACGGGTTAATAAATACCCGTTATAAAAACAATGCATTTGATAACTGTTAAATCATTACATAAATACCCGTTATAAATAATGACCCACTAAAAGGAACAATTTTTTAAATCGTAGGTAACACCTGTTATAAAATAGGGTGCAACATTATGTTTTTTTAAAAACAAAACTACCATATCAACAAACAAATAGCAAAAGAAAATATCTACCATTACTTCAATGCCAATACACCAACAGTATAGATCAACTTCACAAACACAACAATACCAAGTGATAAATAGTTTCAGCCCACATGTTCAAAAAACTACGAAGCCTGTCTAACAAAAGTCTAATCTTATCCTACTTCACTAATGAGGTTATATCGAGAAAATACTGAGTCCAACGTCTCCTTACATCATCAATATCCTCACTCGAGAAGGGTTCTTCCAAATTAAACACCTTAAATTTGAAAAAATAATTATAACATATGATCACGACGAAAAGATAGAACAAATTATTTACTTGAAAATATACTAGTGCTTGATATTTACAAATTATTTTTGTTCACCATTACCTTATCAAAGTTGTCAGTAACGTCAAGTGTGATGATTTCCAACATATATCTCATAACGAAATACCCGCATTCAACACCTCCAGATTGTTTCCGACACTTGAAAAATATGAAAAGAATCGTATAAAATTAATAACTTACAAAAAATAATATTATATGTAATGATTAAATATATTTCGAGTACCAAAAATGAAATTGCAAGTTGCAAAATAACATTGTTTAAGAAATAAATTTACCTTTGGATAGACCAATTCGGGTTTCTGTATGGATGATTTCCCTTCATTATCTGATATGCGGAAAATGCCCTAACATAATAAATGTAAAATAGAGATTTTAGTTTCAAAATAAATTTTAAATAATTAGATCAAAATCATGTAACATAAAACATACGTCGTGATTTTCTGAACTATATCATTCTTTAGCTTT